TATAAGAAAAGGAAATAATTAATTCTTTGTATAAACGATAAAGAAGGGAATATTCCCTTCTTTGAATATATAAAAGAGAAAATATATAATCAATAGCTTTTCGCAAGGGATTCGGGGTAAGGACCATTCGGGATTTTTTATTTTTTTTTTCTTTATTAAAGAGACTTTTAGCCTTGGGCTGGTTCGTCTCTGACCATTTGGGATAATAACGAGTGGAATAATGTTATAAATTTGTAATCGGTAGTTCAACGTTCCATGCACCGATTTTTTAATCCATCACAAGAAATTCTTCAACTCATGTCGAACAATTTTTCGATAAGGTTTAACAGTTTTCGATTGGTTGAATTGGATTGCATAATAGACCTTTTGACTTATTAAATGATGAACGAAGTGCTCGAAAACTTGAAGGTTGTCATTTTATAAAGAGCTAAAAAATGGTTTGGAATTGATAAATACATAAATCCATAAAAAAAGAAAGTGAAAATTACTAATTTCATCATCTTTTCTGGGGAATGGTACATTCTGGAGAATGCTTTTCTAGGGAATGGTACATTCTGGGGAATGTTATAGAACCTCGCGTACGATTTCACCCGTAATATCGATTGGACAAAGTTCAAGACTGTGATCGATTCCACCGTTGGAGGAATATAACTTCCTCTCCAAACTGATATTGGACAACGCGCTTCAAGCTCAAACTCGGCCGGTTCCAGGAAGGTATTTTCGTAGGTAACCTCCTTCCCCTTAATGCACAGAGGTTTATCGTGAAAAGTCCGACGCGTTTAAGCTTTTCCGGAAACGTGGAACACCCGAGCATTACGAAGCGTACTCGTCTCTTGAACGCGAACTCAAGAGCCTCATAAAAGCCAAGAAACACGGATACTGGCGGCAATTTGTGGACGGATTATCGCGCGAAACGACAATAAATACGCTTTGGAACGCGGCTCGAAGGATGCGTCTTCAAACAACGAGAGCGAGGAGTACTCGGATCGTTGGATTCTCATGTTCGCGTGAAAAGTGTGTCCTGATTCCGTGCCAGCACAGATGATTCCTCGCGAAACGTCGAATTCAGTACACGAGATCAACCAACCTTTTACAATGCTGGAGTTCTCACTCGCGCTCCTTTCGTGTCGCAATTCGGCTCCGGGGGCTGATAGGATCAAGTTCAACTTGTTGAAGAACCTCCCAGACGTCGCTAAGAGGCGCATGTTGAACTTGTTTTGTCAGTTCCTGAAGCTCAATATTGTTCCAGATGATTGGAGGCGAGTGAGAGTTATAGCCATTAAAAAAACTGGTTAATCCGCGTCAGATCATAACTAGTATCGTCCCACCGCGATGTTATCGTGCATTCGAAAATTGTTGGAGAAAATGATACTTTTTCGCCTGGACAAATTAGCAGGCCAAATAATAAACCACATACTCTCAGATACTCAATTTGGTTTCCGTAGGGACAAGGGAACGAACGACTGTCTAGCGTTGCTTTCCACAGAAATTCAGTTGGCTTTTGCTAATAAAAAGAGCAAATATGGCTTCTGTGTTCTTGGATATTAAAGTGGCTTTTTATTCAGTTTCAGCTGAAGTTCTTTTAGACAAACTCCACGCTTGTGGCCTTTCTCTATTAATTAATAACTTTTTGTACAATTTGCTGTCAGAGAAACATATGAGCTTTTCTCATGGAAACTCGATTTAGTTACAAGGGCTCATGTTAAGCCCCCTTTTGTATAATTTCTACGTCAGAGAAATTGAAAATTGTCTAAGTGACAACTACACGTTGTGTAGTGTCTATGACAGGGCCCAAAGGGGTCGACCTGCAAGGACCATAACAGGATACCTTAGACAATTTGTCTACTTGGGCTATCCAGATAGGTATCGAATTCTCCACGGAGAAAACTGAGTTGGTCGTTTTTTCTAGGAAGCGTAGCCCAGCACAACCGAAGCTTCAAGTTTTGGGTAAGGCGATCACTCATTCCACGTCTTTCAAATATCTTGGGGTCTGGTTCGATTTCAAATGCACCTGGCGATCCCACATTGAGTATCTGAGACGAAAATGCCAACAAAAGATCATTTTTTTTCCGAACAATCACCGGAACGTGGTGGGGAGCTCATCCGCAAAATCTTCTAACGTTGTACCGGACAACGATTTTATCGGTTTTAGAGTACGGTAGTTTTTGCTTGCAGTTGGCGGCTAAAACACATATCATCAAACTGGAACGTATCCAGTATCGTTGTCTTCGTATCGCGTTAGCACTCGACTCACTTCTTGAGCTAAACCCTCAAACTAGTTTTATGTCAGAGTTGGTTGGAAATGCTAACATGAAGCTTTAGTGTGATGATTTATTAGCTAGAGAATGATCTTTAGAAGAGCCGTACTCTAACGGAACTATCCACCTACCCTCTTCTAAAGATCATTCTCTAGCTAATAAATCATCACACTAAAGCTTCATGTTAGCATTTCCAACCAACTCTGAAAATCGTTAACTTCGCGTATGAAGTAACATAAAAAACACTTTGAATGTAGTTTTATGTCATTGTACTACGTGTACATAACACAGGATGTCAGCCCTTCACAGCATAATCCTCATCGTATATGCTTCTCCGACTTCGGCAATTCAGTTAGTTTTGATTTATCAATGACGCAATAGATTCGCGGAATCCCAGAACATCATCGTTCCATGATTGTTCCGTCATTATAGACTTCTCTGACGTTTGTGAATTGCACAAGTAATTTACCCAAAGTACTGCATTTATACTTGTGCATTTCACAAACGTTAGAGAAGTCTATACACTGCAAAGTTTGGCCAAGTTGGTTCCGCAAGATCGTTCTTCACAGATGGATTACTAATAGAGGCGTCCGCTGGTTACTTATAACGAATTTCATAGGGCCTCTCGAATGCTTCAAGCTCCTTGTTCCGTATATGTTGCTGAGCTGGCAGCAATACATTATACACTAGAAACTATCGCCCAGTGCTGTGCATTATCATAACGGTTATTGTACCTTAACAGTCATCCTCATATCACCGTCACATATAAAAAATGACGGTCAACTAGCATATCACTTGGCAACACCTTTACCTCACTAGACCGTCTTCATCAAAGCCATCCCTGACAGTTAGATTGAATGACAAGGAGAGAGCTTGATACTTGGGCTTCGGTAATGTGGATACGATATGCGGTCAGCATCCTTATTATTCGAGTTCAAGCGTCACTGTATCCGGAAAAATAAATAGCTGCAAAATCTCTATCCATGAATAAGCATTCTTGACTGCAGGTAGTACGTGTTCATGCAGATATGAATTCTCACAATAATAATTTCTGGTAATACTTTTTCCTTGATACATCCCAACTATCGCCTTATCCGTGATTTTGGAAGAGGAATGACCGTCATAACCATATTTATGCTCGAAATGAGATGACGGACAATTCATATGTCTTTTTTATTTTTCCTCGGTGATATGATGGTACCACATGATAGATGTTAGTGATATTGCGAATGAGTGAGAAAAGCAAAAAACGATATCTCACGGTTGTTGTATCATACTGGTGAGAAGTTTTACGGAGAGAGGGTTCTCTGTTGTTTTGATTATTAACCGTAGGAATATCTTTTGTCAATCTAAAGGCTATCAGTACCGTGATGCAACTCAGCACTGCTATCGCCTCACTTGCACCAGATCACTATTTTATCTTTACGGATAGTCTCAGTTCTGCCGAGGCTATTCGCTCCATGAGGCCGGTAAAGCACTCCTCGTATTTTCTCATGAAAATACGAGAGCTTCTAAGTGTTTTATCTTTAAGATCTTTTGTCATCACCTTTGCATGGGTCCCATCTCATTGCTCGATTCCGGGCAATGAGAAGGCGGACTCACTTGCTAAGGTGGGCACTATGGAAGGCGATATTTACGAGTGTCAAGTCGCTCGCCAGCTGGCAAAATAAATGCAGTAAAGGGCTCGACCATCCGTAAGGTGTCGAAGAGTCCTTGGTTCAAGGGGTTGGAGGTGGGTCGAGACTTCATACGTCTGATGTCTTGCCTCATGTCCAATCACTATTCGTTAAACGCTCACTTGTTCCGTGTTGGGCTGGGGGATAGCAGTCTCTGTGAATGTGGACAAGGTTACCAGGACGCCGATCACATTATTTGGTCTTGTGCTGAGCATCGTGGAGTCAGATCTGAGCTGTACGATTCCCTTCGGGCTCGAGGTAGACAACCAAATGTTCCAGTTCGGGATATTTAGGCTAGACGCGCTTTGGAATTTATGAAACTCTTATATGCTTACCTTAAGAATATTAATCTTAGATTGTAAGTTTGATTAAGCTTGTCTTTAGTTTGTATTTTGTACGTGTGGGTTTTATTTTTTAATGTTTGTTTTCAAGATGAATAGAAATAAGTTCATGTTTTAGGATTAATTAAATATTTGTATCGTAAACCACATTTCAAACATCCTTCTCCCGTTTCCCCTCCAAAAAATTGTAACTCTCCACTAACCTCGAGACAACCGCGAGTATTCGATCCAGGTCCTTTAAATTTAAATATAAGACATTAATAATGTATAACGAAAATGATAACTCGGCTCTGTAACGTTTATTCGATTGAGCCTGTACAAATAAAGTATTTAATAATAAAAAACAAAGAATAGGTAAATATTATCATCAATTATTCAAAAATCACCTTCTTAAAAGGTGCCGAGTGCCACCCCAACATTTATAAAAATATTTAAAATTCAAAGAAATTGCTTCATTGTGTATTTAAGTCTTCAGTAAGCTCGTTTTCACCAAGATTTAATTTGCTGATTTATGAAGGCAATGTTATGAACTTACAATACGGTTACAAACTCATATAAATATTCAATATTTGGCATATATAGAACATGCAATTGTTATGGTGGAACTCTTGGCCCATCAGACCCTATAGATTAATGACTCTTACCTTTTCTGGAAGAGTTTCTACCACAAATGAATGCATCTTCATACCTTTTTTACGATTTAAATTCATTAAATTTATACTTACCAAGAATAGCGTTGTGTATCCTATGGTTCTGCCAAGAGTCTTCTATCAGCAGCAATTGTAACAGCAGTTCAGTATGGTGTTTCATATCATGCCAGTAAGCGTATCCACAATGCCACAGTAGTTCCGTAAGTAATGATCGAGAAAAATGAGGATTTTCCCAACTACAATACTGTAGCAATTTCACTCCTTCTTCACCTATATTTGTATCCTCAATTAATCGCTTGACGTAACTGAAAGGTAATTGTGTTGAATAAAATTTGACAGTATATAAATATTTTACCAAATATGGTTGTGTGATAATGTACCTTACTTTATTGAAGAGGTATTCGTTACACTCCGGAGAAATAGGCATCAACATGTCATAAGTTATATGCGGATCAATGTAAATATTTGGTTTCACTGGAACGGCACTGTTGGAGCTCTGGCACCTACTTGAAACGTCACAGGATCGAATCAAATGCGAAACTACATGATGTAATTTACTCAGATCTGGATTCTGATACTTATTTGCGGTCCAGGACCTTCGTCTAATGATACTTTCATAAATATGGCAGGAACGTTTAGCTGTACACATAGCAAAAAAACAACACACATGAAAAACAATAAACACATACCAATATTAAATTACAAAAAATACATACCCTAATCAATTGTTGTTTTTCATGTATCCCGAGACCTGCGTATAAACTAAACAGATTGAAGTATTGTGGAAGATGTTTTCCGTAGTCAGCAACATCTCCTTTTAGCAGCGATAACACGGCAATGAGCACCTGTTCACACAAATTGCTTCCATCAAATCCTGAAAGCGGGTCGTCATTGGCGGCGCAGTGGCAGAAAAATACGACTAGTTTGCCAAACACCGAACGGATTTCCGGAGACGGTGCAGCTAGGATATATTCGCATAGTCTTGTTGGTGGATTCATTAGGACATTTGCAGCAAACCACTGCCTGACAATCACTGAATTCCGAATATGTTGACACAGGGTTTCATACCTATGTAGTAGAATAAATACGTTATACAAATATTTTAATTATTCAACGACCGAACAATTTACCAATCAATCGCTACACCTCGAATAGTTTTCTTTGTTCGATATCCTGAGTGGAACAAGAATTGTGATGCAAGTTGCATACTAAGCAAAGATAGCTCTTCTGCAGCAGGTGGCTAAAGCGGAAAAGTTGGTGATGTTTTAATTAAATTAATAGTATAGGAACAAGCATTTATGTTGCTACGAAACTTGAAAAAATAAACCAATTGTGCTATATTATGCTGTATTTTTGTTGTGTCAACTCTCCCTTACTTAATATTCTATAAATCAATATTTTCCTTAGCTTTGGTTTTGAAATTCCATTCAATATTACAAACATCCCGAGCAAAGTCCAGCATCAAAATGACAGCAAATTGAAATCAAGTTTAGATATCAACACCAAACTGAAATCATAATTTGATTTCAGTTTATACAATTGACAAATTTGATATAGGTATTAGGATTTTGTTTTTATTTTGCTGCACATTTGCATTTCAGAAATTTGTTGTTGTGGGTTTGATTTCATTGTCTTAGCATAACATGAAATTGAATACTTGTTTTGTTATCAACGGGAAAAATGGATATCAAATTTTATTTTCAGCTTGCTCTCACTGATAGCAGAAATAGTTTTCAATGTGATGTCACAGGAAGATTTTTTTGCTCTCAATTTTGATATTTTAACCGTTAAAACGACCAAACCGACAGCAACCTGAGTAATCATTATCAGCGAAATCACAACATCAAATTTAGATTTCAATTTGATCTCAGATTTTGCTCCCGATTGCTCGCTTTCTAGCTAAATATTTCCCTAACTTGATGTGTTTTGACTAATTTTCCCATGCATTTTTACGTCCCTAAGTCGATTTAAAATTATGTTTTCCTATATTTTAGATAAAATTGGACCCGTAAAATTAATCATTGTGATTCAAAATTAATCTTAATTGTAATCTATTTCAAATATTTTCGTTTTCGTTTTCAAGCACAGAAGGGAGTAGGGACAGCAACCTGAGTAATCATTATCAGCGAAATCACAACATCAAATTTAGATTTCAATTTGATCTCAGACTTTGCTCGGGATTGCTCCCTTTCTAGCTAAATATTTCCCTAACTTGGAATGTTTTGACTAATTTTCCCATGCATTTTTACGTCCCTAAGTCGATTTAAAATTATGTTTTCCTATATTTTAGATAAAGTTGGACCCGTGATTCAAAATTAATCTTAATTGTGATCTATTTCAAATATTTTCGTTTTCGTTTTCAAGCACAGAAGGGAGTAGGGCCAAATTCAATAGTGTAAATGATGTCTTCAGCTAATTTGTCTCTCATAATATTATATACATCTTTTTCTGAATATAAATATTAATTCTGTATATGCGCCTTTTTGAAAGAAAAAAATACTATGCTGTTTCTCTTAGCTCAGTTGGAAAAGGGACAGCTGCAACCCTAATAAACAAATACCATAAACGAACTGTATCCCGGATGGGTAAAGTATCCCACAAATGGTTTGGATTATACCCCGAACACGTCGTTAAGCTCTCATTTATGATTACTTTTATTAGAGAAAGCATGACAACACTGACGGTGGGGTGGCTGGGTTCAATTTCCGGTTTGGTCTAGGATTTTTTCGGATTAGAAAAATTCAGGATTTTCATAGACATATCTAGTGTTACGGGATGTAAACTTTAGTCGCTATATTTATAGTCTGGCGGATAGAATTTCGATCTATCAAAAAGCGGAACCAATTTAATATATTATAGACCAACAATTGAAAGGGTACCCGAGCAAAGTCTGGGATCAAATGGAAACCTAAATTTGATGTTGTGATTTCGCTGATAATGATTACTCAGGTTGCTGTCGTTTTGGTCGTTTTAACGGTTAAAATATCAAAATTGAGAGCAAAACAATCATTGAAAACTATTTCTGCTATCAGTGAGAGCAAACTGAAAACTAAATTTGATATATTTTTTTCCTGTTGATAACAAAACAAGTATTCAATTTGATGTTATGCTAAGGCAATGAAAACAAACCCGCAACAACATATTTTTGAAAAGTAAATGTACAGCAAAATGAAAACAACATTTGGTATCGAATTTGTGAATTGCGAAGCTGAAATCAAATTATGATGTTGATTTCAAAACTTGATTTCAATTTG